CTTCCATTCCCCCACCCCTTCTTCCAACACCCTCTCCCCTTCTCCAACCACTCCCCCCTCTTTCATTCCCCTGTCCCCCCCCTTCCGCGATTAATCCTCATCCTCCCCTCACCTCTTTTACTCTCCCCCCTCTTCTATCCCCTCCATCTTCCCACGACTCACAAAACACAACACACACAAAACACAACTCACAAACAATAAAACAATACACAACACACCCATACAGCACAACACACACGACTGTTACAGAACACACTACACACACACAACTCTTACACAATAAACACAAAACACAACACACAAACAATAAAACAATACACAACACACACACAACACAACACACAACACACCAAAACACAACACACTACACACAACACACCAAAACAACACACAACACACCAAAAAAACCCACAACACACCAAAACAACACACAACACACCAAAGCAACACACAACACACCAAAACAACACACACCTTCAACACACACAACACAACAGACAGCACACACAACACCAAAAAAAAAATGACACACCAAAACAACACACACCACACCAAAACAACACACTACACACAACACAGCACTGACCAGAGTGTATCCCTATCCTCAGCTTGAGCTGGTCTGTGGGCCTGTGACGTATGCGGAAGGTCAAGGTCGCCTTGAGCAACGAGAGCGACATCCGGGCTATCTCCCTGGCGTGAAGGTTGCCGTTACGGTCTGGGAGGCCCGAGACCACCATGTAGGCGTCGCCGATTGTCTCCACCTGGTGGATGGATGGATGGATGGATGGATGGATGGACGGGTTGATGGATGGATGGGTGGATGGATGGATGGATGGATGGATGGATGGATGGATGGAGGAAGGGTTGATGGATGGGTGGATGGAAGGATGTATGTATGTATGTATGTATGTATGTATGTAGGTATGTAGGTAGGTAGGTAGGTAGGTAGGTAGGTAGGTAGGTGCGCACATTCGTGCTTACGTGCGTGTGTGACCTCTATTTATCTATCTATTTATCTATCTATTTATCTATCTATCAGATGGTGGTTCTTTGCGTTTGAGATAGATGGTCGAGAATACATTAAAAATCTGTTGTTGGTTATTCAGCAAAAGATCTTTTGCAAGGAGCGTATTTAAGGCAGATGATGTGTGTTGCGACTGAAAGACAGACCAGCCTGACCTGTGTTTGGAGCTCACACATCTTGGATTCGTAGCGTCTGTGGCCTAGCGATTAGGCTCTCAGACTCACAATCGTAAGGCCGTGGGTTCGAATACAGTCAGGGATCCGATGTTGTGTCCTTGGGAAAGGCACTTTACACAAGTGTTCCTCACTTCATCCAGGTGGGAATGAGTACCCAGCTATAGACAGCGATAGATCTTGTCTGTTAGTGTTTGAGCGCTTAATCAGCTGCTTGCATTGTATGCTTCCCTGTAAGCTGAGAATGTTTCTGAGTGTTGTTGTTTTTTTCTGGTCTGCTGTAGAAATAATATAGTGTAAAGCGGGTAGAGCTTGCTGAAGAGCGGAGTTATGCGCTATACAAATGCTCTTTTTTTCTACGAAACGGGAATAACACATCAGCATGGCACGGTGAGTTGTATGCTAGTGCTGTATTCTCATCCTGCTCCCTAAAAATTGAGTTCAGCTAACTGTAACTAGGTCTTCTATCTCACGATGATATGTTATCTGATGTATTCATGAGCCATGATAGCGCTAAATATATACTTTTGGGGCGGGGGAGTGGGGGGTGAGGGGTGGCAGGCGAGGGAGAATACATTTGCAAGAAATGTTAGTATTTGTGCGATTTGCAGAAATCTTACAGAAGTAAAAGAGGTCTCAAAAAGTGAAGGAATCTACGTTTGTACGTGCACCATGAAAAATAATTCCATTACCTCTAAGTATACAAAAGGCTATTTCTCATTTCTACATAACCAGTTACATCATTCAAGTTTCAGAACTGCAAAGCCCCCCTTAGCTCTAATTCTGTTTACTATGTTTACATAAGATTAAAACCAAAAACTGAGTAGAAGTGAATGCCCCAAGCAATAAACATACAGTTTGATTATAGATAACAACCCCCCCCCCCCCCCCAACAGGGCAGTGCTACTGACTATGGTTGTCTTTAGGCCATTCCCAAAGGGGGGATATTAACATGTCCTTATGCACTGTAGATTTGCAAATAGGCTGATTTATCAATGTCATACTCATACTGTGCCGGAACAACATAGAGAGAACTGATGTTTTTTTTGTTTCCTCGTCCTTACTATCGTCATTTTTCCTCTACTTCTTTTGTATGTTTGTCACTCTCTTGTAAATTGCTATTTCCGGGGTGCCTTGATAGTCGAAGTTGTTGTTGTTATCGATCCAGTGATAGTCGAAGTCGCTGTTGAGGCTAGAGAGGTGAGCAGAGTAAGCCTATTTCCCCGTTTGGACTTCTCTGTTGACATCCACCCGTTGGCGCTCATATGACCTTAAGCAGTTGCGAGCGCCGCAAAACCTTACTAAAACAAACAGGATAGCAAAGACTGGCTGAGGCTCGGTAGCTGTTAGGTACGGCTGTAAACAACCAAGTGACAAGGTGAACCAGTTAAACTAGCATACCGTACACTAAGAGTTTGGCCCAGTGGAAGATTTCCAGTAGCTTTTGTCGGTCTTTCAGATACCTCTGAAACTGCTCAAGTATTTCAACGTACGTGTATATGTTTTAAGCGATAATTTTTTATTGTATAACAAGTATGATAATGATAATGATAGTGATAAAATATAGCATTAGTATAGTGCAAATTCCTGCTCAGCAGCTAGCTCGATATGCTTTACAACCTAAGTTATTTACCCAGCATACCTGAAAACATTCTGAAACCATCTCAACAACCTGTGAAAGAGAGAATGTAGAAATGTTAAAATAAATCACACAAAACTCTCACCGTCGTCACAGTTGGGACTTCCTGGCCAGCGCATTTCGTTCAATCTTTTGCTCCGGGCCAAAATGTCCACGGGCACCTCCACAGAATTCCCCAGTGTTGCGTTCTTCTTCCGGTACTTCCGGGCTTTTCGGGCTTTTCTTCTCTTCCGGCATTTATCTGTACAGGAGGCAGTGAACGTGACGATGTCGAAGACAATGACGGATCCAAAGATCGTGAGCACTACAGCAACCGCCACCGTGCCCACATAAGTAGCTGAAGGACGGTGATCCACTGCACTCGTGGTCGCCCGGAACCGGGTTCTCTCTTTGAATTTTGTATTCATCTCCTGAGGATATGGCGACAACAGAACCTTTTCAAGAGAGGTTTTCGGAAAAATCATCTCGTTAGCAGGCTCTTTTTGCCCTAACTAAATGCTCTATATAACGTTAGGGACTGAAGGTGTTTGTTGTATTTAACTAGGGATAATGCATTATGCTTGAATTTAAACACTAATGCCATTTTCTGTCTTTCTTTTAGTTGGGTTGTGTCTTTGGTTTCATTGCACAACAGCCTCTAACAGGATTAAGAACGGAGCCTTCAGGATCAAATCTTGATAAATGGGTATATAAAAACAGAAAATAGAAATCGCTTATTTGACTTATCTACAGGGAAAGATGTGCATCGCATTTCTAAATCGATCTGAGAGTAATGGTTTCATTCAAGAAATAATCATTGTTTTATTTACTCGAAATTTGAACGATAAAAGCAGTGTCCATGGAGGACGTGACTGTAATTATCACAACAAATAGTTACACACAGGGTATAATAATGATAATAATACATAGCATTTATGCTGCACATTTCCATTTTCTAAAATGCTCAAAGTGCATTACATAAAAAAGACATCACATCTTAAAAATTAATCGACATTGTACTTTAAACACAGTATTATATATGTGAGGCAGCGTAGTGGAATCAGGCTCTCGTCAAAATAATCAAAGCGAAGAAACTGGCATTTTTCCACAGGTTTGTGAATTTTTATCAAATTTTTGTTTTTTGACTCAACACCTTTCATGCCCATTAAAGAACTCATTTCTAATTCTGTGTCGATTTTTTCTTAAAAACAAGGATTAAAGGCACAAAAAATATAAATTTTCAGTTACCACGGACTCTTAAGCTAAGGAATTAACTAATCCTCGGTGGCCATTTCCTCACTAATTCTACCTCTGAAAACAGGTGACCCCCACCTCCTTCATTTGCAAATAGCTCGACTTGTTTTCAGTTTAATGGTTGTTGTTTTTTTCATCCAAATAAAGACAAGTGAACAAGAATTAAGATGATACCAATAACTCGACTTGCCCTCGAGAGCCTGATTCCACCATGCTGCCTCACACATATATATATATATATACATACATGCATATATATATATATATATATATATATATATATATATATATATATATATATATATATAAATAGAGAGAGACAGAGAGAGATAGAGAGAGAGAGAGATGGAGAGAGATGGAGAGAGATGTATATGAGAAAAACAGTCTTGCAGTGAGTTTGGCAATGCGTTCACTAAAAATATACAACAATTCAATAGAAAGTCACGAACAGTCACAATAAAATTGAAACTTGAATAACTAAAAATATTCATTAAAACACTCGTTCTCTACAAATACAAAATTGGACGAAAAAAACCAGGGATGAGTGCTTTCATCAAGACCAGCCCTTACAACTCGTCTTGCATTTAATTTTTAAATCAATAAAATCTTAATACTTTTTTCCAATAAAGAAATCTGTTCATTATTTTATAATGAACTGCAACTTACAACAAGAAAAATAATAATATTGAAAGAATTTAAAAAACTACCACTTTTGAATATGACATGGCAATCCCAAATGATTTGCTGTATTCATTCATAATGTGTTTAAGATCGAACCAATGAACGCATGATTGAAAGATAATACCATAGAAATTAGTGAGACTGATTTTGCTGCCGACTTTAATTATATATTAATGTCCAAAAACCTAGAACATCAAAATCACACCAAAGGGACGTCCGTTGGATATTCAGTGAAATTCGACCAAAGGATTAATTCTGGTGTTTTATGCAGTTTATGGATATGAATTTATGGTGGATGTTCAGCTAGAGTCTCTGGAGTCTTTGGTTGAACTGCGTTGTATGTTGAATCAGTTGAGAGACAAATAATTATTTTCCCAAATGAAATATGAAGAAGGCGAAGGATAATTTGCCTGGTGGGAATGTGTGAGTGTGATAGATAGATAGATAGATAGATAGATAGATAGATAGATAGATAGATAGATAGATATACATTGTTTTCAAAGGAAAGAGACAAGGCGAGAGTTATTAGATTCATAGGGGAAAGTGTAGTGAGGAGTGCATGCTAATGTCTTTTTCCATCAGAAACAAAGTGTGGCCTTTAGGAGTGGAGATGAGGGCCGATTACTTTAACTACAATTTCACCAAAAACAAAGGGGCGATGACCTATTCAATAAAATCACGCAGGGAAAATTACAAATCATACGAATGCAGTAAGATAATATATCTGTAATAAGATTTGACGATGACTGCGACTCTCTCTCTCTCTCTCTCTCTCTCTCTCTCTCTCTCTCTCTCTCTCTCTCTCTCTCTCTCTCTCTCTCTCTCTCTCTCTCTCTCTCTCTCTCTCTGTGTGTGTGTGTGTGTGTGTATGTGTGTGCGTGTGCACGCATGTGCGTGTGCGTGCGTGCGTGCGTGCGTGCGTGCGTGTGTGCGTGCGTGCGTGCGTGCGTGCACAGACGGGGATTGAAGAATGAATGTATGGGTGAATAGGTGGATGGATGGCTGGGTACAAACCTGGTTCACCCTTTGACCAACCTTAAGTTCCGCAACATCTTTTCGCTCTGCCTTTGTGTCATTCTCCGGGTTGGGGTTCAAACGAAGACACACGATCATCCCTTCTGCCTCGGTTGTCTGGGGAGCTGAATGATAATGGATAAAAACGTTGTTTTTTTTCAGCCTGCAAGCAAAAGAATAACTGAAAACATGGGGTCTGATATACAACAATACGTAGCATTGGAAATAATTGTCATTTTAAGAAAAGAAGAATCCAAAATGTACTTTTGAAAGGTTCTTCTCAGAACAGCTTTTTAGCACAGTGAAGTAGACCTTCAGCTTTTTTAAAAAAAATGGAATTGAATCACCTTCTGGGACAATTTGACCAAATCAAATCTTAAAACAGCTCAGGTTCGAGAGAAGACCGCCAGGATTCATGCGGGTTGGTCCAACGCGTGGAAAACTACAACTCAATTAGGATTGGCACAACATAGATCCAATAAAAAATCAACCATTTTGCACAGGCAATGTCGCAAAAATTACCTTGGTAACCAACGAGGGAGGGATTTATAACAGTGACCCAACATGTCGCGTATGGAAAGTGGTGGCCCCTTGAAATGCTTATTGGGTTAAGTGGGAAGCTTTCTCTTGACGTTTACCTTTTCACGATTTTTTTTCATAGTTCTTTATTGCATTAGAACAAAGTTTTTTCTACCAGACGGGGGGGGGGGGGGGGGGGGGGGGGGGCGCAAAGCTTGTTTTTCCCCAATTGTTGTAGCTTTGCTTCTTATTTTTCCCTGTAATTTTATTTTAATGATTCTCGTGACTATATTACAGTGGGTGGTCAGGTGTGGTTTCCTCCTTCTTTCCTCTCGAACATCTATTGTCCTTATCTCTCCTCCTTGTCTCTGTATGTTACTCCTAATCTTCTAATTCCCCTAACCTTCGGCATTCGTATGACTTAATAGTTTTGCAAGTGCCGTAAAACTCTTACAAAACTAAATTAAGATTACAGAGGTGGCTCTATACTGTACGCAGATAGCTCGTGCTGCTGTACATTCTACTAGCTGTTGTAGTTGTAACTGGGGGGAGGGGGTGGGAAGGGGTAGATAAAAAAGGTGTGGTGATATCAATAACAACAACTACAAGAAAAATGAATAGCAGCTGTAACAGCAATAGAAGCGGCAGCAGAAGCAGCAATTATCTTTTCAGTGCTGGAAGGTAAACTAGAAGAGTAATAACTTTAGAGTTACTCTGGTTACTTTTTGCGTCACTGCTGGGCTTCTGTTGCCGCAGCTGTGTATTTTGAAAGATAATCTAGGCCACAAATCGGACACCCTTTTTCCTACTCTTATGTTTTTGTGCTATTTTTTCTCGATCTATTGTACTGGATGGGTTTTGTCTGTAACTTAGTGTAGCGGATGCTAAAGTGCAGTATTGGCAGGCCATTTGAAGTAATTAAGAGCATTTAGGAGGCGGGCCAGCTCGACCCTTCCTACCAGGGAGAACCTGGGCTAAATGGGATACAATATCCCAGCTCATAAGATGAAGATACTAGGTTAAGAAAAAATATTCCCCTCTTGGGAATCGAACCCAAGTTTTCTGTGCTAGATGGTAAATAGTTTAACAGCTACAAAACAGACACAAGTTAAGAGCAAAAAAAAGGATTTTTTAACGAAAACTCAATGTCAATAATAACAACAGCTAGCTCGAGCACAACTGGTTCATCACCAAGTCTTGAACAAAACATTGTACCTTCTGTTGTTGGCAGGTCAGTCGTATTGTCACCATTTGGCGTTTCCTCTCCACGGACCTCACCTGGAAAAAATAATGGGTGGGTTTGTTTTGGTTAAACTATTGCCTAATTGATAAAAATATTTTTACGAAGGCTCCGATAGAAATATTCATTTTACTGCTTACAGTCTTAAATATACAAGGCGTTCATTGTTCAAATTCTTCTTCTTCTTCAGGTGTCAGGTCTAGAGCAGACATTGACGATCACGGTACTCTATTCCTTCCTGTTGTCTATCTTCTTGATCTGCTTGGTTTATCTCTGTGTTATTCGTTGCAAAGTTGTTCAGGCCATCTGTGTATATTGTTTTCCACATTATAAACTATACTATATATATATATATATATATATATATATATATAATATTATGTTTTATGTATATATATATATATATATATATATATATATATATATATATATATATATATATATATATAAATGTACCGTCATATGTGCACGTGTGTGTGTATGTGTGTGTATGTGGGTGTGTACTGTATGTAGGCAAGCTTTAGTTTGATACCAACTTCTCCATTAGTCCCGGAACTGACCAGATTGTATATTCTAGATCTATATAATATTTCTAATGTATTTCTTATTATTCATTATGCCTTTATATTAATAGTATTCGAAAGGAGAGAGTATATGAGTTCTACATTTTCCTCGGTGCGAATTGACCCAAAGAGGAGAATGTGTATGAATCAAGTGTCTGCAATTAAGAAACAGCAATGTATTCACCACAAAGTCTAAAACATTTTTAATACGAATTTTGAAAATGTCCTTTTAAAAAAAAAGAAACTGGATGAATCTCACTCTAAGACTCTTGAAATCGCATTACCCCCAAAGCACGATATGGTATGGGAGATTGATAAATATTGAGGGTAAAAGAGGGAAGGAGGGGGGTAGGGGAAGAAGGAGAAAGACAGAGAGAGGGGGGGGAGATGGTGGGGGAACTGGAAGAGAGAGAGAGAAAGAGAGAGAGAGAGAGAGAGAGAGAGAGAGAGAGAGAGAGAGAGAGAGAGAGAGAGAGAGAGAGAGAGAGAGAGAGAGAGAGGTTCGTCGAATTCACACTATCGTCCAAATGAGCAGAATAAACACAGAGAGTAAATAGGGTCATAAATCAAGATCAAAGTAGATTGATACAAAGGAAAACAAATTACAGACAAACGAACTTGTATGTGCATGCGTGTATGTGTATACCTATTTAAGTCAGTTTATCATCCGATGTTTATCCAATCATAAAATGTCAGTACGTTTGCCATCGTTTGTCGCACAGGACGCAAACAATATTGTTGCTGTGAAGAAACTTGTTTTGACCGTACTTATCTCAAGCATATTTACAATCATATTAGTCATACATTTGGAATCCCTAAATGTTAATGACCAGTTTGGCACTTTCCTAGGCACATTAAACACACACACACACTTACCACACACACACACACACACACACACACACACACACACACACACACACACACACACACGCACGCACGCACACACACACACGAATACACACACAAATACCCACGTATTTACGCACATAATACATATTATTTCTCTGTTTGTGTGTGTTTGTGTTTGTGTGCGGGTATGTGTATGCTTAATGTGCCTATCAGCTTTCGAGTCCAGTGGTAGTCAAAGTTCAAAGAACTAAGATCGAAACAATTGCTCCTAATCATTGGAGCCCTTCGATTAATCGTATCGTAATCACACCAAACATGTCACACAATAAATTGGTACCTGTTCACCTCCGAGAGTTGACAGAAGTGCCACTTGCTGTACTCGAAGGATCGACAAGTGAAGTCTTTGTTTTCATCACAAAGTTTTCTGCAACCCTCTCGGTCTTGTTCAAAGAACTTTGCCGTGTTGTAGCCAACCAGACTGCTAGTTGGAGTAACTTCGTACACACATACGCCTGAAAAAGATAATATAGATGGTAATTCCCCTCTTTTTTTAAAGGGGGGGGGGGGGCTCGTTTATAAACTTATCTCGGTAACTATGACCTTTCAGATAAAGCCTTATAGCATAGATGTATAGAAGGAAAACATCTCTAAAATGTAACTTTAATTTTTTTGTTCAAGTCTACGGTACCATGGTAGCGGCGGTCATATTGAAATAAAGACCTTTCATGAAAGTAAAAAGGATTTTTTATTTAGAATTTTCAAATTTGGTACATTGATAGATATACTCAATACGTTGTTGTTGTTTTTTGCTGTTGGGATCTTGGATAGCTTGAATATGAAAAAAGTAAGAGATGTATGACTGACGTAACCCTTCATGCCTCTGAATTCGATTGCATAATCATCCACGTAACTCACTTATGAAAGCATCGATATGATTTTCCACCTGTGCAAAGTTAGATTATGGTGTGAATAACAAGCCCAAGAAAATTTAATTAGAATCAAATAAAAAAAAGTAAAAAGTAAAAACGATATGCTGTTACATAATAGGCAAAATAAAAGTTCTAGGACAGAAAAACTGAAAGAAGATGATTGTAACACAAAGAGTAAGCATCTTTTAGATTTACAAATGGTTAAAGTATTATAATACATAAAAAGTCCAGATACCATAAACTGATCAAAAATCGATAAATTTACACCCCCCACCACCCTTAATTATGACATTTTCCAATAAAAGACTTTTTAAACGCTTGGCGTTTAATACTGAAGATGATTTGGGAGGCGTGTTTCATAATATGTTCGCTCAAACAAATACAGAAATCTGCCGTGATCTGACAAAACGCATTTTTTCATTTTGGCGGGAAAATTTTTTATTCCACTAATGAATTCTACATGTCGAAAGCTAACTTGAGATATAATTATGCAAGCCTGACTGCGACTAGTTTTTAAGTAAATTAGCTTTTTAGATTTGTTAAAACGCATTTATTTCCAATGTGATCTGATAAAACACATTTTTTTCAGAGATGATCTGACAAAACTTCTTTTTTTTTCGTGTGTATCGACCGTTCACATCACCTGTGATCTGATAAAACGCATTTTTTTCTTCCCGAGAAGGACAAAAAAATGCGTTTCATCAGATCACAGTTTACGTATGGTCGATACGCAGATAAGAAAACTCACTGCTGGCATCTGTTTGATACGTAGAATGTTCACATGCTTCGCTGAGGTGACCTTTTGTCCCAATTTATAAAGTCTGAATAGTTAATTTGTAATACTTTCGGGCCCCCACCAGCGATCTGCACTGTCGCCACAAAATCGGTAAAACCGAAAATATTTCCCTTCCTTCTCATATCATTACTCTTCTCAACCTCACCATGAAACGAGTGACAGGACATGAATGTATTACCCGTTACAAGGTACTTCAAAATGACCCTGTGGAGAAAAGGTTTGCTGCTGTCATTCAACAGCCTTGCCAGGGACGTGAACAAATACCAATTTTCATTTGGCCTGAACAATTATCACACCGTATAACGATGTCCTTTGCATCCTCAGCCAAGTCACAAATTGCTTTAACAAAAGCTGAAGTAACGCTGGAGGCAGACCTTCCCGACGTTGTCTCATGCCAGAGGACAGATCTGACTTGCTTTGGGCTTTTCTTTTTCGCCTGCTGTCCTAGGGGTGCGAACGTCTCGTGGAAAGCTACATGGCGGTTTCGGAAGTCGCAGCTTTTGACGCCCCGCATGAAAGGCAACAAAACGAACTTTTGCATGTCCGCTGATACAATGATCTCGAACCCTACTTCAGGGCCTTTCTCTCTATTTTTGTCTTACTGTTTACGGTTTGATGCAACGCTTCTCTTGTGGGATGTGAACAGTTGACACGTCTCAAGTCTGTGTCCAGTGCGGGCGGCTGGAGCTCATGGTGTGAGAAAGTCAGACATATCTCACACATCTCGTTTCCAAGATCGGCGAATCTAAAATTCTTTAGCTGCACTCGCCTACCGTAGGATTGGTACCCTACCTTTAGAGAGCGACACGTCTCTGTGAAATAGGAGTGCATTTCTCGAATGGTTATGTCCAATGACAAATACCACCTATTAGGTGCATGTTCTCGCTTGTAGTGGCTCACTGAAGGGTGGAACTCTTCAATGTGTGAGTCTATTGCGGCAATAATGTCTTCCCGTCAGGGCGTGGGAAGGTGTTTTTGCACCCCTTTTGTCTCTAGGGGCAAACAAGTCACTTGCAGAAGCACCTGAGATTTTTTAACTGTTGAATATGGAATTGGATGTTTCCGAGGGTGTGCAGAAAAAAAACACAGAGCAGACGACGACCTGTTTACCGCAGTCTTTTGAGAGCGTACACGGGAATTTGGAAAAGTCACTTTTAGTCTTCGGGCGGTGTTGAAAAATCCAATTTCGGCGATCATTGTAGGGTTGACTCCAAAACTCCTCATGAATTACTTGACGTCTTGGGGGAGGGATTTTCACGATGCAGTTCATTCTACAGTTGCATGGAGGAAGAATGGTGTGCTTTTCCTTAAGAGTAAAATGTGGTACTTCTCGTCTTTCAGATGCAGCGGGTGTTAACGTGGGCGATGGAGACAAGGCGGTTTGGTACAGCTGATCTGAGGACGAGAGGGTTGAGTCTGATACAGCTAATCTGAGGTAGATGAGGTTTCCTCAAGTTGACCTGGTGATAAAGGGATTATGTACTGAGATGGCGACAATGGCAGAAAGTGTGTTGGGCTTGCTGATATGGGTTGCACTGGTGATGCAACAGACTGACTTTCCCCAGAGACACAGAATGGTGGCTCACCAGCATTTTGGGTAAGAGACAATTTGAGAAATGAAAAGTTGTATTCTCGAGAATAACTTTTCTTTCTTCAAATGATTGTTGCGAAGGCGGCATCGGTGACAAAGGAGATGGAACATTGTCAAATTCAGACAGGAGATCAGACAAAGACCTGCGCTCTCCCACCGTCGGCGTTGAAGTTGGTTCATGCTGAGTCAAGGGACAATGGACTGGTGTTGATGTTGCAAATGGCAACATCAGTGAACTCTCTGTTTTCGCTCCAGTCAGCGAATGGATTTGACACACCTGAACTCTCTGAAAGATGCTCACTTTCACCAGAATCATCGTCGCCAAAATGAAGGCGTCGACGTGCACTCTTTACAGGGGTAGGAGCATGGGGATCTGATGGACCAGAGATCACCTCAGCCCCAGAGAAAGCTGGAACCTCTATTGCGGAGGCTGCTGTGGCTGCTGATCTTTGGATTTCTTGCAAACGCCGACGTTTTATTAAGGGTGGTTCATAACTTTCGAAAGGGCTGTGATCGTCTTTATGCTCTTGGACGATTTCCCTGAAAGGCACGTGTTTAAAAGCGAATAAGTAGTGGAGGTGTCCTTGTGATTTGGCTGAATAGTCCATTTAATATTAACAACAGTCCCACACCTAGACGAATATTTTAGGAACTCGTCAACTGTGATGCGAGTGTCAAAAATAAACTAAAAAGACATGTCACTTATTTGCCTTCTTCACAAGCATTACCTCTACAGTCACTCCAGACCATTAAAATGTTCCCCACTCAAGACTGGTAAAACAGGAGCCACGACAACTTAATCAAAGCTCCCTCAAATGCAATGAAAATAACATGATTGCAACTTACCTTTTCATAAGTTCTTTGAACAGTTGTTGTGCATTCATGTTGAAGGAGTCACCACATGTTTTCTCAATAATCTGGTGGTCAAGAAACGAATTCCATACGCATTTAAATCCCCGAAGGGAATATTCACTCACCAGAATTAATAGCTGGATAAAAGTGACCGAATCTTTCGTTACCATTACCGGTGTGAGCAGTATCAATAAATTACTGCCCAACATTTCAAGTGTCAAAAAAGACTAAGACGAAACAACAACAAGAGGACGATGCTCGTGAGGTAGCCGGGAGTTGTGCCGTGTTTTTAAGTTATATATTATTATCTGGTTAGCCACGGTACCGAAAACTGACCCTACAGAGCAGACTCCTCCCCAATTCCTCTTCCTCCCCCTCCTCCTATCCCTCCTCCTCCTCCTCCTCCTCCTCCTCCTCCTCCTCCTCCTCCTCCTCCTCCTCCTCCTCCTCCTCCTCATCATCCTCCTCCTCCTCCTCTTCCTCCTCCTTCTCCTTCTTCTTCTTCTTCTTCTTCTTCTTCTTCTTCTTCTTCTTCTTCTTCTTCTTCTTCTTCTTCTTCTTCTTCTTCTTCTTCTTCTTCTTCTTCATCAGTAAAAGCTTTTGTATGTACACTGTAGAACAGAATCTGAACAAGAAATGTTAATACCCTTTTTACAGCCGTAGAAAATACGTTTAACCAGCAGTGAATTTGGAAGCAAAACACACGACTTCTCTAGCGATGATCTGATAAAACGCATTTAAATGCGTTTTACCGGATCACAGTTAACGGGACGCAGAAAATAAATTCGTTTGTCAGATCATTCTGGGATTAATGCGTTGAAAATAAAACGCATTTCTACAGGGAAGATGTGATAAAACGCATTCTTCTTGTTTGTTTGTTTGTCTTTAGCTCAAATTCAATCAAATTTAGTACAGTCATGGTAAATGATATATATTTTTATGTGGGATTGTCAAACAAAAACAACATTGATATTTGTTTGTTTAATTAGCAAAAAACACTCAATCGCGATTATCTCGAAACCTTGATTTTGAGAAAAAATGCGTTTTGTCAGATCACGGCAGAAATATTCCATCATGCAATTTCACTCACGCACTTGGCATAGACAAAAGGAATTAGAACGCACCGATACACACGTCCAGTCTACATAAAAACCCACTGATAAGCCAAAAAAAATCCAGTCAACTGCACCTCCTGATTTTATGTTATTGTTATTATTCATATCATATCGAAAATACATCACGAAACAATTCTTATACATACAAACATACACACAGACATGCATATAGGCAGGCAAACAAGCAAACGGCCTGGTGGGCAGATAGATTAGATGTATTGGTGAGAACATGCAGATGGCCAGACTACTACACAGGCAAACATACGGACAGACTACTTTACTGATGTTTTACAGGAATTATTTTTTTCACCAAAGTATGCGTACTAAAAAGGTTAATGCGTGCCACGATAGACTTGTTGAAATATTGAAATTGGAAGCAGACGTTTAAGAATATAGACAGCTAGAATTCAGTCAAAGATTGACAGACGGATGGGCACGTGTGCATACGTGTCTGTGTATATGGTCGCGCTAGTTTAATACAAAGTTCACCTTCGTCCACTGAGCATAGGTACGGAAATCTCTGGGAGCAGTTGACCAGCCCCCACCTGTAGGGCGACAGGGTCTCCATGGTGAGGCACTGGTCGCTATCTGGATCAGCCCTGGATCTCAAGTCAGCAGTTGGGTACCACACCGGACTGCCGTCCTCCCAGGTTAGCGGCCCTGAAAGACTGCTGTTGACCACCACTCCAACCCACACTTTCCATTTGCTATAAAAAGGGAAAGAAAACAGAATTTCGTTCGTCATGTGTAAAATGAACAGAAGTGCAAGAGATATGAATACACATGAACATGCAGAGATTGGGCAGGAGATACTGCAATTTGTAAGAACCGGTGTCTGTGGTGTAGTAGTTAGACGCTTCACAGTCGCTCACAGAAGACTTTAGTAACTCGGTCTTCCTGCTGGGTTGTTTCATTCCTCTCAGCGTGGGTCGGAAAAGGAAAGTTACTGCACCAAAATATTCGAGGTGACTGAGTGTGTGTGGGGGTGGGGGGTGGGTGTGTGATAGCGACAGAGAGAGAGAGAGAGAGAGAGAGAGAGAGAGAGAGAGAGAGAGAGAGAGAGAGAGAGAGAGAGAGGGGGGGGGGCGGAGGTTGTTGTTTTTTGTAAGAGTTTTACGGCACTTGCAAAACAATAAGGTCAATAAGTGTTTAAGAATAAATGTGTTACCAGAGAATAACATACACAAAAAGGAGAGATAGGACAATAGCTGTTTTATAGCAAAGAAGGAGCAAACCACACCAGAGCACCCGCCAACCAGCCACCGGGACGGAGGTGGAAAGTATTCGTAGAGAGGCAAAGAAAGTAACAGATAGACAGAAAGACAGACAGGCAGACAGACAGACAGACAGACAGACAGACAGACAGACAGACAGACAGACAGACAGACAGACAGACAGACAGACGAAACCATCTATCAGGCACTTACTCTTCAAAGTGTAGGTCAGGCAGTGTGCTCACGTCAAACACTGTGGCTAAAGTTCCGTTGAGCTCTCTGCAGGCCCCCGAGGCGTCTTTCCACGACATGGGGGTGGGAATAAGAATGTATTTTTTCCCGTACGAGTAGTCTGGAAATGGAAAAAGAAAAAAATAAGCAATTAGAATGAGTTGGTTTTCTCCTTTCCTTTACCTTCCCCTGTTTTTTTATATATTTTTTTTAATTGATTGAATACATCTCTCCGGCCTAATCGGCTGGGTGGTTGGAAGGAGCCACTGGATGTTCCTTTTTCATTATTGTTTCTCTGCTGAGCTGTATTGTGTCATTTTGTCAATACACTTAAATCCCCCCCCCTTTTTGAGACTGATGCATGCCTCTCAGAGGAGAGCTAGATGCGAGGTCAGTAAGTTTCTTGACTATTGATTCAAATTATCAATTATTTCTGTTAGAGCCTTGATACAGTTTACAGCGTGCAGCGTTACCTCCCTTATAAGAATCACGCAATAAAACTCTGCACCCCCCCCCCCTCGCAGTGCAACATGTCTTCGAAGGCCGCACACCTACTTTGTCACAGCCACAAAACCGTCCGAGCATGGTTAAGCTTAAAATGGTTCTCTGTAATTGAGAAGTGTTATTTGTGCTGCTGCTGCTGCTGATGCTGATGCTACTGCTGACACAGCTGCCCAGTTGCCACTAACGTCATAGCTATTGTTGATGTTCTTTTTCTTCTTTTGTTGTTGCTATTGCTGCTGCTGCTGCTGCTGCTGTTGCTGTTGTTGTTGTTGCTGTTTCTGCTGTTGTTGCTGTTGTTGCTGCTGCTACTGTTGTTTCTGTTGTTGCTTATGCTGTTGTTGCTGTCGTTGTTGTTGTTGCTGTTGTTGTTTTTGTTGTTGACGGTGGTTGTGGTGATGGTGGCCGTGATGTTTTAGCAGCATTTCCAGAAAGCAAAGGCAACTCAATTATTATTGCTGTCGTTAGATTCTTGACGTCAGCAAAAAAATAGCATTTCCAATTCAAACCTTTAGTCCAGCCATTTTGCCAATTCAGCCATCACTCATAACAACATGTCGTGCTTCGGTTAAGGCTGAGAGCTCAGCACATCAAAGGCTTTGTGACTCTCGTTGACTTGCACGAAGCTCCTCGCTTATTGGGTGTGTACGTGTGTGTGTGTGTGTGTGTGTGTGTGTGTG